TCCTGCTGGAGAGTCTCAGTTAAGAGTAGAATTGGTTTCTTTCAGGCTGTTGCCACAATAAGCTTATTATTACTGAGGCTCAGCAATGTGAAATAAGTAACTATTTTGGTTATGAGGATTACAATAAGCGTCCATAGGGTCAGGATTTAAAAATCTTAAGCATCCAGGCTTAGAGGGTGGGTTTGAAAGGGAAGAGAGAAAAACTCCACACTCCCCATCTTGGTTTTCCCATCCAAAGAAACCCTACTTTTCCCCAAGGTGGCAGATTAAATCAGTGCATCACAGCACAAGTCTGCTACCCTACTACTCTCTGCCTTGGGGATGCAAAGGACCCCACAAGCTCAGAGTAACTGTGCCGAAGCTTCCTTCAACCCAGCACACTGGTGACTTTGAGAATAAGCCTCCCATGGGGTGATGTGAATTCCCTGCTTCTGGGGTGGACAGGCCTTCAGCTTTGCTCCCTGGGGGCACTTCTCCCTGTGGCGAGAGGAGTCCCAGTCTGTGCCAGTTATCCCTCCTCAATGCCTGCAGAAGATAAGTCGTTTGGGAAGGCAGGTGAGGATTGCAGGGCAAGAGCTGTTGTTTTTGGAAGCTTTATGACTTTAGTCAAAATGCAAAGGGATACATGATCAGAAGACTTGTAACCATGAGCTCAGCCTGGCCAGGCAAACACCAGGACTGCTGAGAAGTGATGCAGCACTATGGGACGGTAGCAGAATACGTTTCTCCCATAGCCTAAGGACATGCTCCAACTCCCCGTTTACCACAGCTGGTCTCTAGTCTTCCCTTAAGATCACAAGGAGGAAATTGTAGGACTACTTAAGAACTATCACAGAGAGAAAACTTCTGGAGGAGAGACCTGAACTCATGCATCTGGACGCAAAAGGCCATTTGCAGTTACTCCATAACCTTGCCCTGCTCAAAATGGCCAAGAGAATCAAACACTTCACTGAAAGTGAAGCCAAACCAGAGCAAGGCGCTAGCAGAGTCCTCCCCTTCACGTGTTAGTTCTTACCTCACACGCAGCCCGTGGTACACAAAAAAATAACATGCCTCTGTAAACACTATAACAAGCATTTTAACACATGCTATTAAAAAAACAAACCTAATGAGGCCATCCAGGCACCCCTTGCAAACAAGGCCAGATAGGTTTTAAGTCTACATTCTTACCCATGAAGTCTGCCCAATAAAGCCATTGACTTACTGAAATCTCAGCCTTCACTTGCATTTTAATGATGGTTTGAGTGAAGCTGACCAGAGCCAGACATGTGTTTTCCTTCAGAAACTGTACACTAAGGACTATAGTATGACCACAGCTGTATCAAGAGCTTAATGAAGAAGTATTCCTAAGTTACCACATCATAACCGCAAGCACTTAATCATGCATCTGGAAGACAAGTTACTTATGTATAGAGCCAGATCC